CAAGGGAGGAAGATGGTGGCTGTGCTCAGGAAGCTGAGGAGGATGATGATCATACTCAACCCTGGAGGAAGCTGGTGGCTTTCCTGCTCAGGAAGCTGAGGAGGATGATGATCACACTCAACCTTCCTCAACAGGCTGAGGAGAATGATGATCACACTCAAGGGGGAAGATGGTGGCTGTGCCAGTGCTCAGGAAGCTGAGGAGGGTGATCGAGGACGACGATGATCACACTCAAGGAGGAAGTTTGCTTTTGCTGCTTTCCTGTCTGCTGCTTTTGTTTCTGCTTTTCGCTCCGGGAGGATGGTGGTTTCTGCAGGCTGCTGCAAGCAAACGCGGCCGACGGGGGTGAGAATGGCGGCGATGCTCAGCCTCTTTCCCTCAAGGCCCCTGGCGGCTGCCCCCCTACCGACGTGACATCGACGTGTTACAAGGTAGGCCGCATCGCGTCGCGAGGTGCAGGGTCATAGGGGTAGAGCATCCGCGCACTGTACCACGAGTAGGGGAGGACTTCGCCAAGCTCGTTGAACTTATCCCATTGGTCTGACACCCGACAGTAGTCTACCTCTATGTCTCCAAAGTCTGAGGCAGCAGACGACGTTCCAGCGCCACGAACGTTGCGATCCTCACGTCACCTCAGCTGCCGTAGTGTACGGGGGCTGGGGCTACTGGACGAACGGGCAGAGGATCTGCCTCACTAGGTCCAGGAAGACTCTCCGTCTATTACAGTGCGGGAAGCAGCTATAACAGGGTTAGAAAGTATTAAGGAGGGGAAGGAAATTGGGTGGCTCTGTACCAGCGAGCCACTAGGGAGATACAAAACTCTCTATCTCTCTATATGCATGATGGAATCAATATCTCCATACGCATGCTGGAACCAATATGCCTATAAGCAAGATGGAAGGTAATTGTTGGAGCGATTTTGTTTCGCACACTGGGCAGCTGAGGTGACGTGAGGATAACAGAGACGCCGCTGTACCGCCATTGCGCAACCTCGATAGTCCACCCTCGGACGGCAGGGCAGCCCCATCAGGCTGCCTCCCCGTCCCGGAGTTTACTATCTCGTTAACTTCACTGCCAAAGTCGCCTCGTACACGCGACCGTGTTCTGCAGGCGGGAGGAAAATCGAGGCCTTGGTGAGGTCGAACGCCCAGAGTATCAGTCAGAGGCCGGCTATCCATCGCAAGTGGCCGCGAGGTCGGGATCGACGGTCCACCGCCGGTCGACTTTCACTGTCCGCCCCGTTTGGGCAAAGCGCCGCCTTTCGGGACAATAATTATTGGGCAAAGCGCCGCCTTTCGGACTTGTGCTACTGGTTGAGACGTAGTCGAGGGCGTGGAAGCGCCATCAACAGGTACTCTGCATGCAATGGACACGCCTAGTGTAGAGGTGGTGTCCGCGCCTTCGGAAAGTCCTTTGCCGCCAGCCATACTCCGTTCATTGGGTGATCGCTCTTACGATAAAAGGAAGAATGCGGCTTTGGAAATAGAAGCTCTTATCAAAGCTCTCCAAGAGAACAATGATACAGACCGGATCTGTTCAGTAATCGCCATGCTCGGGCAGGACTTTGCAACATCGACAAACGCCAACCACCGAAAAGGAGGCCTGATTGGGCTAGCCGCCACGGCGATAGGCTTAATGCAAGATATCAGACTATATCTTGATGCCCTCCTGCCTCCAGTTCTCCATTGTTTGGATGATCCAGAGAGTCGTGTAAGATACTACTCTTGTGAGTCGCTTTATAATATTGCCAAGGTAGCAAGGGGACACATCCTTAGATATTTCAACCAGATATTTGATGGATTGTGCAAGCTATTTGCTGACGTTGATATTGATGTGAAGAATGGGGCAAATTTGTTGGATAGACTTGTCAAAGACGTGGTGACTGAATCAGACTCTTTCGATGTTGAACGATTTATTCCGCTCCTGCAGAAATACATTCGCCGTTCTAATCCATACATCAGGCAACTGCTAGTCGGTGCGTCTCTTGAACAGAAAGAGAAATCAACAGATTGATGGAGCATAGGTTGGATTACGGTACTTGATTCTGTTCCTGATATTAACATGCTCGATTGGTTGCCCGATTTTCTGGATGGGTTGTTCAACATGCTATCTGACTCAAATAGGGAAATACGGCAGGCAGCTGGCTCTGCCATAGGAGGATTTTTGATTGAGATTAAAAAATCCACAGTGGTTGAATTTGGTCCGATGGTGGGTATTCTCGTGAGTCAGTGCAGGAACAAGGAAAGATTCAACCGCCTCACAGCTATAACTTGGGTTCAGGAATTTATCAAACTGGGTGGAAGTCGACTCTTATTGTTTTATTCTGAGCTCCTTGGGGCAATCATGCACTGTATTTCTGACAGTGATACTGAAATTCGCCAGGTTGCAGGCTACACCAATGTAGATCTACTAAGGCTTGTGAAAAGTACCACTGAAGAATTTGAACTGTCACCATTACTACAAACTCTGACCATGGAGTTGGACTCGCATCACATCCCAACTAGGATGGCAGCTTTGCGATGGATAAATATGCTTCTGGAGAAGGTTAGAGGTGAGATGAACAAGTTTATCTCGGAGCTCCTACCGGCACTCCTCAAGACCTTGTCAGATGAAGCTGATGAGGTAGTCCTCACGAATCTTGAAGTCTTGGCTCGAATCTCACTTTTGAATGACTGTGAGTTTCAGCGAGTTTTGCATGCCATTGTCAACCTCTTCGCAGAGGACCGTCGCCTGCTGGAGCTCAGGGGGTCCCTAATTATTCGGTATTTGTGTACCTTGCTCAATGCAAAGTCAATTTATTTCTCACTCGCTGCCATCCTCAAAGGGACAGTTCCAGGGGAAAAGATTGTCGAGGCAAGCTTGCTTCCTCCTGATGAATTGGAATTTAGGTCAATCATGGTCCAGACTCTCAGCCTCATTTTACTTACAGCTCGTGAGCTCGATGAGCTTCGAGAGCTCCTTCGTTCTAGTCTAGAACCAAATGCCTCAAGTGAGGCGACTGAACTCTTCATTATCATGTACGGCTGCTGGTGCCATAACCCTGTGGCAACACTAGCGCTGTGCTTAATGGCCCAAGCTTATGACCTTGCTTCGTCACTTGTGACACAATTTGCTGAAGTGGACGTGACTGTGGGATTTCTCATGCAAGTGGACAAGTTAGTGCAACTACTCGAAAGCCCCATCTTCATCCAATTGCGGTTACAGCTCTTGGAAGTAAGGGCCCCTTATCACCCACTGCTACTGAAAAGCTTGTATGGTCTATTGATGCTACTTCCACAGTCTACCGCTTTCACGACGCTTAGTACGCGACTTGCGACCATTGCAACTCTGCAACAACATCTTCAGAAGGAGCCGACAGTCGCATCAAAAGTGGTGCCAAACTTACGCAAGATGGAACTTCTCGAAAGTTTTAAAGAAATACAGTCGGTCCACACTAAAGCAAGGCAGAGAATTGCTATTTCCCAAAGTCTCAATCTGACCAAGGAAGCGAACTGCTG